GCTGTGTGACTTGGGCAGGTGACAGAGGCCTCAGGGTTTCAGTGTCCCCATCTCTAAAAGCAGGATGATAACAACAATAACTATTTCAAATGGTTCGGGTAACAAATTAAAAACACATTAAGTGTGGCATAAAGCATGTGGTGCAGAGCAATTAATAAGTGTTGGCTTAAAATGGCTGCCCAGGCCAGTATAGAAAGACAACACAAGACACAAATGTATACCCTCACATGAACACAACAAAATCAGACATAGATCTGATTGTATCTATCAGGGATAGAGAGGCCCAATGCCAACACTGCCCTTACTGCCAACACTGCCACTTTACTTACAAAGTGAGCTCTGGTCTCTCATCTGGGCCTATCTGCAGAGGAGGGGATGATGAGCAATAGAGATCAAGAGTCACATAGACCATCTTCTGACTAGCTGTGTGAATTTGGGCAGGCTACTTAATATCTGTGCTTATGTTTCCTCAGTTAAAAGTGAGTGTAATAACATCTTCCTCGTAGGATTGTTATGAAGATGACATGAGCTAAGATGTTTAGAACATTTTAAGAGTGTCTGGCACATAGCATGAGCTAAAAATAAACTATGGTAAAAATAAGTATAATAATTATAATAACTTGAAATAAACCTCTAGGATTCCAGATTCTATTTTGCTTCTTGATGAAAAAATGCTCTGCAGAATGGACTTATAGAAAAGAATTGAGAAAGAAGGAAATTAAAAGAAAGCAAGAAAACTTGCAATAGAAATGAGTCACAGAGGATAAAGTTTTGACTAATATGTGAAAAATATTTTAAAAAATGACATTTGTGCTAAAAGATAGCAATTCTCTTGCATTGTAATTACTTGATTAATTCATGTAAGATATAAGAAGAGAAAGCTTAAATATAAAACTTAAGAGCCAACAGAGAAGTTGTACCAAAAAACCTTTGCATTTAGTGGGCATTCAATAGACATTTGATTAATATATTAGTTGATTAAATATGATTAAGCATTAAACTCAGCAGCTAACCTGAGCATGTTCCTTTGACAGAATGAAGACCTGAGATAAACATAGGTCTTGTGAATAAGGCCAAAGAGGCAGCACAATTGACTGATCTCTTTTTCCTTCCCTTCCTCTCCCTTGTTCTCCAGATTCTCCTCTTCCCACATCCCTCTCTCTGCCTCCCTCCATTCCTCCTTCTTTCTCTTCCTTCTTTTCTCCTTACTGGCTAACTTTTATCTAACTTTTTTCTCCTCTTTATGTGCAGGATTTTTGTCAAAAGCATTTATTACTAAACAGAGAAAGAGATTGTTGAAATTCTTAAGTGCTTAATACCTATAGTTTAAACCATAACTGAACATGTTGTCTTTTCTCTTAATAATCATGTACCTGAGGTTAAGTCAACCTGCTCTAGGTTGATTTTCAGCACAAAGAAGGATGGAAGCCTACTGTGGATGATTAGGAAATATGTTATTTGGATTTTTTTCCCTGGCATCTCTTTAGCTAATTGGATATTCGGCACTGTCCATCCAACCTGTGACATCATCATCCTCTTCTTTCTTCAGATCATCCATGATGACAACAGTAGTTGCTTTGCTGCTTTGCTCAGATCCAGCCAGGGTGAGGGGCATCAGCTACAAGGATATACATAGGGTTGTTGTTTTTGTAATTCATCTTGTGATGAAGGAGGCTGAGGTCTCCATTTTTCTCAGTTTCATTCAACAGAAATCTGACCTCTGTTCTCTCTTCTGGCCTCTTCTCTGGATATACAAATATGAAACAAGGAGTATCTGGTAAGAAGATATAGCAAAGGAGTGCCAGGTCCTTTGATCCAGAACATCATCTTCTGTCCTTTCAGTATATTCTTTGTAAGTGTGTAGCTTTTAAATGCTAAAGTTAATAAATCTCTACTGTCATTAGGGTAAAAGAAATGAGAGTTGTAACTTTGTAGTTTTCAATCAGAAAGCCAGGAAGTCACCCAGACGGTCCAAGAAGGAGAAATAAGGATTTTGAACATACCAGAACAATTTCCTCCGTGGGGTAATAGTTCAATGATACCAGACTCTGATACAAAGTGGTACATTCAATTCCCAATTACTTTCATTTCATTTCAAGAAAAATTCATTCCAAATAGGAAAGGATGAAGCTTACAGATTTAAAGGATGACTGATGCCCAGGGTGAATGTGGTTGTCACAGAACATGAGCCGTAAGTCATGTCTAATTTCTTAGTCCAGGTGAACTAGACTTCAGTCTCTGAAGCAAATATGAGGATGAATAAATATCTGTTTTACATAATTAAACAGGAGTTTTGTGAACAATTCATGAGTACGCTAATTATTGGGAATAGCCTGGGTTCACTGAGGACCTGTCTTGCTACTTGAATCTTATTTTCTTTTGTTAAAAGCAACTATATGGCAAGGACCTGAATCAACTGAAAATGATGCTTTGTAGGAATCCCTGCAACTAGGAATCCCAATCGAGTTCCATATATGGGATCTGGGTCTTGGGAGCGGAATGTGCTCTAAGAACAGCATCTAAGATACACACAATTGGATCTGCTGCATATTGAGGTGCTGCCATCTAAATAGAAAGGAGAAGTCTGAGGCACAGAAAGGAAGAAAGTACTAAAGGAGGACTAAGGGGAAGAGTATTTCAGGACTGCTTGGCTCAGCTCGAGTATTACATTTCAGCACAGATTTTGACCACTTGATATAAACATGGAAGACAGTGAACAAGTTGATAAGAGCACCCAAATGATGTCACAAGAGATGTAAAGCAATTGGGTATTTCTATCCTTGAGCTGACTCAGAGCAGAAGAGTGGCATGGGAAATGTAGGCTCTGTAACCAGACAAACTTGACTTGGATCCTAGTTGTCAATAATCAACTGTCAGATCATAGAGAAATGAATAAACCTTCATGCATGTAAAATGGAAAAGAATATGTGCTCTGTTGGGTGGTCTTCCTAACTTCCTAACATCCAAAAGATACTTCTTAGGGATTTTTCCCCTCTTTAGGCTCTGCTTGGAAGTTGACAGTTGATACCAGTCACTCCTCAAACACTTCCCTCTTGACCTCCATGACTCCCTTTGTCCAATTTTCCTTCTTCTCTCTACTTTTCAGTCATCTCTTTGTTGAGCCACATTCAAATACCAAATTTCTCTCCTATTGCTCCAGTTTTCTTTTTCTTGAAGTAGTTCATTTAACATGAAAACGTAATTTCTACCTTTTCATTGATGATTGCCAGTCTCCGCTCTCTCAGCTCTAGGATAACATTTCTAAGTGCCATCAAAACATCATCACACAGGATCAAAGTCTGTTTTCTGTTGTCCATTTCTTCTTCACTCTACTGGGTTGTAATGCTTTTCAAGTTTAGATATTTCTGATAGTCAGTTCTTGCCTCTAGCCTGGTCTAGGCTACCATCATACCTTACCTAGTTTCTTGTAGTCATTTCTTAACTGAACATACTGCTTCAAGTTCCTTTTTTGGTATAGTGGCATTGGTGTCATATTTGTGCAGTTTGTAATATGCATTTCCCATCTCTACACTCTAAACACATGACCTGTCCTGTAGGGAGAGGGAGTTTACCCTTTTGTAGATTTATCTGCTATGGCATGAGATCCTCAGGTCTCAGCCTCTGAGTAATTAAGAGTATAGGCATGTGCCACTCGTTTGACTTCCTGTAATTTCTATAAAAGCTCCTTGAAGCTCTAGCACCACATTCACCATGGTATTTTAAATCCTGCCTCTGAGGTGAACATTCCACAGAATTCTTAATTATCTTTCAGGGCAATATGATTTGCTTTGAGGTACCCTAGAGAAAACATAACTTATGGCTGAGAATGCAGCTGCCACTTAAAGAAATTCTACCTATATTGTTCTAGAATAGAACTTGTCATTAGTATTGTATATATATGGAGAGGCATAAGACGAGATCGAGAAAGAAATCTTAAGTTACTCCTTTTTGCCCCGTATATGAACTTGAGGGATTTGACCCTTTCTTTCTGAGTCCTGAGTCCTTGGTTTCATGATAGTAAAAAATAAATAAATAAAAGAAAAAGAAAGAAAAGAAAGGAGATGGTAGTATTAAAATGTTTGGGGCGAACGAATGAAATTATTCAAAACACCTGTAAGGCAGTGCCTGATCCATGAAAGGACGCAGTACTGAGAGGTCATTTCTGAGCTTATTGCCTGGAACTCTGAAGCGATGGATAGACGAGAGATGTCTTGAAGTCCTTGCAAATATCCAACATGCTGAAACACATCGGTGTGGGGAAAACGTTGGCAATCCCTGGATTTCCAATCATTTGTCTAGAAAACCAATCAAGAACTGTGCAGCTCCAGGTAAGCCTCAGTGCCTTTCCTGGGAGTCAGTTATTTGAATCTAGGTGCGCTGAAAACCTCCACTCTCTCCAAATTACCAGTGGTCGGTCGAAAGCCTCCCTTTGTTGGGCAAATCCTGGCTCCCGAGCCCCACCTTTAGGCACGTGGCACCCTTTAGGCCTGCAGTTTCAAGTTCGAGAAACAGGCACTCCTGGCTCCCAGGCTGTGGTCCGGATGGCAACCTTCGTACCAGGCACCCCAAGAGCATGCCCTGGGGGGCAACCAGGCGGCCCAGGGTGGTGGGTGGCGGTGCTGGGTTTGCATCCAGGCCGAGGAACTGCGAGGCGAGAGCTCGCAGAGCAGGTACCAGCTCTCACTTTACCTCCAGCTTGGGCGCGGCCGCTGAGTGCGGGGGTCCGGAGCTGAGTTCCCCCCCACCACCCCCCCGCGCCCCAGTCTTTGTGAGCCCGCCCCCTCCCCTCGCTTCCCCCCTCCACTCCACCTTCCCCCCCCCCCCCGCCCCGCCCCAGTTCCCGGGCAGCGCCCATGCTCCGGCTGCGGCGAGCCCAGCCCGCCGCGCGCACCTCTGACCCGGCCCCGCCCCCGGCAGCCGCGAGTGGCGGGAGGAGCGCGCGGAGGGAGAGGCGCGCGGGGCTGTGCGGCGCCACCTCCCCTCGGCGCCGGGAGAGGGACGGAGGGGCCGGGGCCGGAGAGCGAGCCAGCCCCAGCGTGCGAGCCAGCGAGCGAGCGGACGACCGGCAGAGGACGAGCTGCATGCAACCGGTGGGAGGCCGGGCCGGCGGGGGCTGGGGCCGGGGCTCGGGCTCCGGCTGGCGTTTCTGGCGGGGTCCGTGGCGGCGATCGCGGGCCGCCCGGAGGCGGCGGCTGTGAGCTGGCAGGCGGAGGGCTGTCTCCCGCGCCCGCCTGCCCGGCGTGGTCCGAGGATGCGGGGGGGCGATGCCCGGGGCCAGGGACGCGCTCTGTCACCAAGCGCTGCAGCTGCTGGCCGAGCTCTGTGCCCGCGGGGCCCTGGAGCACGACAGCTGCCAAGATTTCATCTACCACCTGCGGGACCGTGCGAGACCTCGGCTCCGCGACCCAGGTGAGTGCCGCCGCCGAGCGCCGCCGCCGCCGCCGGGCGCGAGCTAGGGCCCCTGGATGGGACTTGGCGTGGCCGGGGGACCGCACACCACATCGGGGCCTGGGTTGAGATCTTTGCGGACCTGCGGTGGGCGCGGGGTGATCACAGAGCTAGGAGATGGAGGGCGGGGGGTGGGGGGGGGACGGGACGGGGGAGATCAAGGAGCGGCGCATGGTAGCCCGGTGTTGAACCGGGCGGGGACCCGCGCGCGGAGTCTGCTGCGCGGAGGCCGAGTCCGGGTGGGCTGGGATAGAGGTGGAGGAAATCACGCCCGCCACCCGCGACTGGGTCTCCCCGGGCTCCTGGAGGTGGGGGGCGGCTCCCAAGCTCTTACCTAAGCCCTTCCCGGGCTCTGCGCCCCGAGCCTGGGGAGGCCGCGGAGGCCTCCTGAGCAGCGAGAAGAAAGAGGAGCCCCGAGGAAACTCTGGGGAAGTTGGGAGTCGGGCTGCTACTGAATCCCACCGGGGAGCTGCTCCTCCTCGCTCCTAGCGCCTACTTTCTCTCCTCCATCTGGGGTGGGACAGGATCTGGGGTGGGGGGTGGGGGTGGGGTGGAGTCACGGGCCCTGGGCTGCGGAGCCTAAATCTGTTCCCTGTGGGTCGCAAAACACAGAGGCGACCTGGGCCTGGGCCTCCCAAGGTGGATCCACAGCAGTTCAACTAGCTAACAGCGGTGGGTGGGCTCGCCCATGCGTGGCTCGGCACCTGCAGTTATCCCTAGTGAAAGTTGCGAAGCTCCTAACTTTGAAAAGTTCATTTATTTTGGCATTTGACCAATTAGGTTGGAGGAGGGAGTTATCATGAAGTGATTTGCTTTCCCCCTCCCCCCTCCACCCCCCCCCCCCCCCAAAGACCCTGGGTCTCCCTTGTCTTCTTATTCTGGATCTCTGGAAGATACATTTCTTGCAAATGTTATTTCCCAGAGATGCTTCTCACCTGGAGAAATCATTTTCTCAAATGGCCTCCCCACCTAAGTGCTTTAGAGCATCCAAAGAAGGGCATATTGTGGTTAGACTGTTAAAAATGGGACGAGAAAATGGCCTTTGATATTTCTCCTGTGTATAAATATTGGCAAGCAGCTATCGTTTGGGCAAATTATTCTGTTTGACTTCACCTCGTTTTCAGCCAGTCCATTATATAAAATTGCATTTGCCCAAAGGATAAAAGGAGAGAATTATTTAACTGCTGAAGAGATTCACAGGGATCCTGACTTAAGTAGTATATTCTTAGTAGATATTCCAAGTGAGTGTGTATTTGTGGAGGGAGGGGTGGAGCTGAAGGTAACTTTAAAAGTTTGCTACTCAGATTTTTTTTTTGTAGCCAGTGGCTATTTTTTTCATTGCTTGTGGTTTCATTAGTGAAGCTTATCAAATGACCACTATGTTTTACTTGAAAGGGAAGAATTAAGTCGAGAAATATCCATCCTCGTGATATTCCAGAGGTGTAGCATCCAGCCTGTGTGCAGCGCACGGCTAGATGTGATTGTACAGGAGACCCAGGAGCATGGCCATGACCCTAAACTGGGAAGTTGTGTCCTTCTACTGCAGAACCAAGACTATTGCCAACCTACTTTACCCAAAGCAGTTGCATGCTGGGGCTGAAAGCTCTCACTTCCTAGTCTGAAACAGGCCCTCCCTCAAGTTTTCCTTGTTATCTCAGATAAGCCATCCTCTGACTTTTCTAGATAAGATGGACAAATGATGCCTATGTCTGAACTGTGTGTTTAACGTTTCAAATCCTTTGGCCAGGGTTCTGCCTCAGCTCTTTCTATCCAGGGGCCAGTTTCCACGTCTTCGGGTTCTATCAGCCCCCTGCAACTGAACAGTCATGGAAACAGAATCGCCAAGAATCCTTCTTCTAAGAGGAAAGGTTGCTTGGCTGAGAAACAGAAGGACTTGTCTTCCTTGCTGCTCTTTGAGTTCCAGAAAGCCAGGGCTTTGTTTTCTTAAACTAGGGCACATGGTTCGGAGGTGGCTCCTGCCCCTCCAGCTCTTTGGTTTGTGTTTAGGGAGTAGCTTGCTCTTGAGACAGGGGAGGGAGGTTGCAAGAGCTAGGTGAGAGGAAATGAGGCCAAAGATGAGCATGGAAAGTGCACCTTCTCCTTCAGGGCACTTGGGCTCAGGCCGATTTCCCTCCACTTCCCTCCTTCCTCACGGTACTCACATTAATTCTTACATCAGATGCATTTATCTCCATCCCTCTGAAGCTGTTTGTGCAAGCCAAGAGTGCCCTTAATCTCGCAGCCTGAAAAGCTGAGTGGCTGAAGAAGCTGCACTGCACAATATCATGTGAATAGTGTTCACTAGCTCTCCTCTGTGTAAACTAGAACAACCCATGGACACTTGCCCTAACACTAGTCCCCCAAAGAATCCTTTCTGTAAATAGGTGACTTCCTTTTTTGTCCGCTTGCATGCCACATTCCAGCTTTCTCTGCTTGTTGTCTTTTTCAGGGCTACCCAGTGTTAGCTATGTTTTCTCGGGCTCTATTAAAGATTTTGGTTATAGTTCATTTTGAAAGGAGAAAAGCTGATCTAATTCCCAGAAGAATGATGCTGTATCTAGGATGGTAGCTTTGTACACTGGTACACTTGAGGCAGAAGAAAGGGCAACTGTAAAGGTCCCGAGGAGGTAGGAGTATCATTGCTATGATTCAGGAAAGAGTAACTTCAACAGTAGCTGGAGATGGAAAGTGATGAGAATTATAATCAGTTAAAGACGTTGAGTTTTACTCTGAATGAAATATATACCTGAAGTTGCAGCACTGAATGCTTTGTTGAGAGAATGCTGTAGAAGAGCAATGATGAGAAAAACCCAGGAAGAGGTGAGTATTAAGGATTGATTAGGAAAGTAGTAATGGACGTAGTAAGAAGTTCTGGATTATGGACCATATTGAAAGCACAGGAACTTAGGGGCAGGATATGGAAGGTGGAAAAGATGGGTTAAAGAGTATTCTGAGGCTTTTTGATCTAAGCAACTCCATTGACTGAGCAGAGGTTTGGAAAGAGACAGACTAGAGAGGAAGATGAGGTTTCTGTTCTGTGAACCTTTGGTCCATACTAAGTGTGTGATTCCTCTTTAGGCACCAAGCTGTCCTGTAGTTGGAGAATATTCTGCGAGCTGGTTATCTTCTTTAACCTCACCAACTTGCCTGTGCCCTTACTTTGTAACTGGAGGCTTCGCTGTCATGAGATTAACTGGTTGTAGAACAACAGTTGATGCTAAAAGGTTTTCCTTTGTAGGGAACTGAAAGCTCTTAAACACCTACTCATTGATCTTCAGTGTACTTTCTGCATTAGGAAACAATTAGTCTCATCCCTCTTCTCCATTATGTACCTTTGGCTGGGAGGGGGTACCGATCAACTTCTCTGGATTTCTTCTCTGTTTCCACATCTGGAAAAGAAAGAATTGTTTTAAATAAATTGTTTAAAGAATAGTTTTAAATTATATTTTATCACCTCTCTCCTAGGTCCTTCTTTTCTATGGTACTACTCATGCCTATAGTAAACACTTTGTTTTATATATTTATTCATTCATTATTGTGCTCAAACTGGGTCTTGAACACAGGACCTCAAACTCTTGCTTGGCTTTTTTGCCCAAAGCTGGTGCTCTACAACTTGAATCGTACCTCCACTTACAAAGTAGTTTTTCTCTATTGAAGGTAAGAGTCTCACAGACTTTTCTGCCCAGTTAATTTTGAACCATGCTCCTCAGATCTCAGCCTCCTGACTAGCTAGATTTACTGTCACGAGCCATAGCCTGGCTGTACCAAGTACTTTATGTACTCACTTCATTGTCCTCCTAACAGCTCTCTAAGACGTGGATGCTCAGTGCTTTTGTCTTGGGCTGAAAGTATGTAGAGGCTTGTTAGACAGGATGTCAATCCATCTCAGACCTACTGAAAATTGCTATACATTTACCAAATTCTTAAGAGCTGTGGGCACATTAAAGTTCAAGAAGCATAGCCAAAATGATTAGTAGCTAGGAGAAGTAAGCTAAAATAAGAGGTGAATGTAAGTGGGACTAGTTTCTTAGGTGGTCATATCACATACCTCCCTGAATCTGAAGGACACTGGTTCGAGAACATAGCTTCCCACCCCCTCCCCCTACCGCATACTATGATAGCAAAATCTGAGAATGTTCAGTCATTGACATAGTGTTTGTGTATAACTCATGTACTTCCTCCTTTAAGTCATCACTAGGTTGCTTATAATAACCATACAATATAAATACTATTGAAATAATGGTTATGCTGTATTTAGGGAATGATGAAAAGAAAAAGTCTATACATGTTTAGCACATTGTTTTTGCCAAATATTTTTGGTCTTCAGTTGGTTAAATTTATGGATGTGGAGTCATTGGATACCTAGGCCTGAGTTTACTATGAACTTAGGAATTGTGCCCAATGCAAATTTCCTAGGTATTTTAGTAACAGCCATTCTTAGAACTCTTTGTTTCTTCTGTAATTGTGTAATGGATTCAATCACCACGTGTAAGTTAAATGGTGTGTAGTTTATAGAAATTCATCTTGGTGTTTGAGTTATGAATTGTTATGAATTAGGCATTAGTTTTCTCCTTATGTTTCACCTTTGTATTTGGGAGGTGCTTGTTTGTACATGCTTCTAGTGTCTGTACTCAAGTGTCTGTGCTAATGTTTGTTAGCTTGGGCTGTAGAGCAGAGCCTTTAGTCATATCATTAGTGACTTCTCTCTCCAGGTAAATATTACTTACCTCTCTAGGAAAAGTATTTTTTTGGTCAATGATTTTCAACTTTGGCTATACATTAGAAATACTTAAGAAGGTCTAACGAACAAATAAAAATAAAACAACAAAAATCTAGCAATGGATAGAGTTATACCCTGGACCAAATAAATCAATCTCTGAGGGTGGGGTCTAGGATCAGTACATTAAGTTCCTCAGTTGATTTGGATGTGCAACCAAATGGAGGACAACTTCTGAGGGGAA